GGAGCCGGGAGAGGGAAAATGTCCTTGTTTTAATAACAAACGTAATGTGCGAGATGCATACTCCTCTGTAAGCTCCAAGCAAGGCCTGCTGAACTAAATAGTGTTTCTGTTTCAATGAATATAACATCCCTGTTGAATGATTAGGACACCTGTTGACATTAATACCAAATTATGCAGGGAAATATGTGAGCCACTCCGAGAAACTTTTATATCCATATACACATGTATATACATATATACAAATATTAAGAGGATTAGAGGAATTACTAAAAAAAAAAGTTATTTCTGTGTTTAACACTAACCTGTGTTTAACTATGGAAAAGAGCTTGAAGTGAGGCAAGTAGGAAGAATGCTTATTGGGGCCCTGGCAGAAACCAAGCGGAATATCTATCCTAAGGAGAAATGTCCTTACATGCAGAGGAAAGCCAGCTCAAATTCATTCATTCATAAATTAATAATAATAATATTCCTACAGCCAATGCAGGTTGGCACCTTCTCTCCAACGTGTAGTGTGGGCTAGGTCAGTATTGTAGGAAAGATTTTCATCTAGGGCTTGGACAAGATAACGGCTGAGGTTCCTTCTGGCTCTAAAATTATGTGGGATTCTAGGGTTTCTATTTCCTCTAACTTCCCTCCCCTCTTTCTTTTGATTGTGTCTGAGCCACAAGGAATCTTAGAAGCCGCTGAGCCAAAGCCCTCACTTTTTGATAAGGGAAACTGAGGCAGAGATTAAATGACTTGCCAGGGCCATGTAACTAACAAATATCTGATGTACGATACGAACACAGATTTAAACTGACTTCAAGAACAGTGCTCTGTGTACTCCACCACTGGGACATGGAGGGACAGAGGGATGGATAATCATTTGTGTGTGTGTGTGTGTGTGTGTGTGTGTGTGTGTGTAAGAGACACAGGTGGACCAGACAAAGAAAGACAGAATTAGATATACAGAGAAATAGACAGAGAGGATAAGGAGGAGGAGATGAAGAAGAAGAAGAAGAAGAAGAAGAAGAAGAAGAAAAGAAGAAGAAGAAGAAGAAAGAAAAAGAAGAAGAAGAAAGAAAGGAGGAGGAGAGGAGGAAGGAAGGAGGAGAGAGGAGGAGGAGGAGGAGGAGGAGGAGAGAAGGAGGAGAAGGAGAAGGAGAAGAAGAAGAATTGAGATACAAAGACAACAATGAAACAGACCTTGTCCTTAAGGAGTTTATGTTTGATAGATAGATGGAAAAAGATAGAGCAAGGGAAATAAACAAAAAGAGAAACAAAGAAATAAAGAATGAGAGAAAATAAAAAAGAAAGGAGAAAAAAGAGAAAGAGAAGACAAAAGAGAAAGAGAGAAAGAAAGAAAGAAAGAAAGAAAGAAAAGAAAGAAAGAAAGAAAGAAAGAAAGGAAGGAAGGAAGGAAGGAAGGAAGGAAGAAATAAAGAAGGTAGAGAGAGAATGAAGGAAGAAGGGAGATAGAAGGAAGGAAGGAAGGAAGGAAGGAAGGAAGGAAGGAAGGAAGGAAGGAAGGAAGGAAGGAAGGAAGGAAGAGAGGGAAGAATGGAGAAAGAAAGAAAAGAGGGAAAGGAAGAATAAAGAAGAGAGGGAGGGAAGGAAAGAAGGAAGGAAGAAAGTAGAGAAGAATGAGGGAGGAAGGAAGGAAGGAAAGAGAAGAAAGAAAGAAAGAAAGAAAGAAAGAAAGAAAGAAAGAAAAAAGAAAGAAAAAAAGAAAAAAAAAAAAGGGAAAAAAAAAAAGAAAAAAAAAAAAAAAAAAAAGAAAGAAAAGAAGGAAAAAAAAAAAAAAAAGAAAAAAGAAAAAAAAAAAAAAAGAAAAAAAAAGAAAGAAGAAAAAAAAGAAAAGAAAGAAAGAAAGAAAGAAAGAAAGAAGAAAGGAGGAAGGGAGGAAGGAAGGAAGGAAAGAAGAATGGAGGAAGGAAGGAAGAAAAAAGAGAGAAAGAAAGCAGAGAGGGAAGGAAGGAAAAAGGAGGGAGAAAGGAAGGGAAGAAAGAAAGAAAGAAAGAAAGAAAGAAAGAAAGAAAGAAAGAGAAAAAAAGAAAAAGAAAATTCCTAAGTAAATTGATAAAACTCTTGCAGACACTAGACCAACCATTGTAGAGACAGCAGCCACTCTCTCTGTCTCTCTGTCTCTCTGTGTCTGTCTCTTTCTCACACACACACACACACACACACACACACACACACACACACACACACACACACAAGCAGGTCTTCCCTGAATTTGACAGAGAGATAAAGTCTGACCACGTCTGTGTCTTACCTCCCTGTGGCCCAAAGCTTTGTTACTTCATCACCCATTATTGAGTCCTGGAGGACAGAAATCTGAAAGCAGAGAGAGAAACCAGAAAGAAAAAGTCCGCTAGGAAACAGTCTAGCTTGGAACAACAATGTAGCAGACTCCAGCTAAGTCCCTTTGGCCCTGTGTGATGTAAACAGTCTAGAACTTCAAGTCTCCTAAACTTCCAGACAGTTAATTTTCACCCAAAGCCATCTCACCTGGGAGTAAAATCTCCCTGACCATGCTTGACGCCAAAGCCCTAGAAGTCCCCGCTGTGATATTTGACAATGGTTCTGGACTGTGCAAGGCAGGCATTGCTGGGGATAATGTCCCCCGGTCCGTCATCACCGCCATTGTTGGCCGCTCCAAAGCCAAAGCCACCATGTTGGGAGCTGGACAGAAGGAGTATTATGTCGGAGAAGAGGCACAGTCCAAGCGAGGGGTGTTGTCCTTGAACTATCCCATCGATCATGGCATAGTGACTTCCTGGGATGACATGGAACATATCTGGAGGCATGTTTATGAGTGTGAGCTGAGAGTACAGGCCGACGAGCACCCAGTCCTGCTGACAGAGGCTCCACTCAACCCTCTGCAGAACCGAGAAAAAATGACAGAGATTATGTTTGAAAGCTTTAAGGTGCCTGCTACGTACGTAGCTGTCCAAGCAACACTGGCCCTCTATGCCTCAGCTCGGACCACAGGGATAGTCATGGACAGTGGAGATGGGGTCACCCACACCGTCCCCATCTATGAGGGCTACTGCTTGCCCCATGCAGTTTCCCGACTCGATGTTGCGGGCCGGGACATCACCGAGTACCTCATGAGACTTCTGTTGGAAAGTGGACATTCCTTTGTGAGCACTGCTGAGAGAGAGATAGTGAAAGACATTAAGGAGAGACTGTGCTACGTGACCTTCGACCCCATCCAAGCCATGAAAATTAAGTCGGAAGAAATCCTCAAAGAGTACAAGTTGCCAGATGGAAACATCATCAAGATTGGCAACCAGCTCTTCCGAGCCCCTGAGACCCTGTTCATGCCAGCGAACATTGGTGTTGAAGCTCCCGGGGTCCACAAGATGCTCTTCAACAGTATTCAAAAATGTGACATTGATGTTAGGAAAAATCTTTATAGTAATATCTTACTTTCTGGAGGTTCCACACTCTTCCATGGTCTGGATGAGCGGATTCTGAAAGAGATTCAGCTCCAGGCTCCTGGGGGAATCTCGGTTAGGATCATCGCCCCACCAGAACGCAAGTACTGTGTGTGGATTGGAGCTTCCATCCTCACCTCCCTCACATCTTTCAAACACATGTGGATCACTTCTACGGATTACAAGGAGTTTGGCCCCACCATGGTTCACCGGAAATGTTTCTAATGAGAGCAAGAGACTCCTCCCCACCCCCACATTCATACACGTGGAATCTCAAGAGATCAGAGGGGTCTGTCTCAGGAAGCTGCGGACCAATCAATTAACTCGCATGCCACCTGCCACCGTTGGTGTTTGAGGTAGCTGGACAAAGTTTAAAGAAAAATAAAGATTTGAAACCAACCAGAACCCAGCCATGCCTTTCATTCAGGCTTCCTTTGGATTTAAGTAGATGCATGAGGAGGGTGGGGCACTGTGGTACAGCCATACAATGACTTGGGGTCAGGAGATGTGGGTTCAAATCCTGACTCTTGAAATTTCTGAATTGTGTGACACTAGGCAAGTTAGATGTAACTTCTCTGAGGTTCAGTTTACTTGTCTGTGAAATGGGAATGGCTATGTTCACACTATGAAATTCACATGGTTGTTTTGAGGGAAAGCAGCTAGGTGGTACAGTGGATAGAGCTCTGGGCCTGGATTCAAGAGGATTCATCTTCCTGAGTTTAAATCTGGTCTCAGATGCTTCCTGGCTGTGTGACCCTGGGCAAGTCACTTTACCCTGTTTGCTTTAGTTTCCTCATCTGTCAAATGAGCTGGAGAAGGAAATAGCAAGCCACTCCAGTATCTTTGCCAAGAAAACCCCAAATGGGGTCACAAAGAGTTGGACGTGACTGAAAAATGACTAAACAACAACACTAATATAAGCATCTTTGCCTCAGGCTCAGAGAGGTCGATAGACTTGACCATGGCCACATAGCCAGGAAGTGTCAGTCAGGGCTTGAATCCACATCCCCAGATCATTTTTTTTTCTTTTATGTTTCCCAGCATCCTTTAACAAAAGGATGAGTAATTCAGGTGCTCAAAATGGACATATGAGTCCTAAGAGAGTTCCTTCCTTAGAAGTCTTCAAGCAGAGATAGGGAGACCACTGAATGAGTATGTTACAGTAGGAATTCCTTTAGAGTATGGGTCAGACTAAAATGGCCTTTGAGGTCCCTTCCAACACACAAAATGATGTGATTTTTCTAATATGCTTGCCTTTTATTATGATTTATCTTTTCATGTCTATGGATATCATGATGGTAGGGTCCTTGAGGACAGGGATTTTTACACAAACTTCCTGGCTGACTTGTGGATTGGGTTTTTTGGAGGACCTGCCCACCTTTCCTCATCTCAATGGCATTCTCTGAGATACTTCCATAGCAAACTGGGAGAGCTGTTTGAGGTCTGTTGAACATCACTGGTCTTAATCTGACTCCTCTCTGACAATAGACTGGGGTTGGGGCGGGGAGAGGAAAGTCTCGCAGGAGAATGGTTGCCTAGTCTTGATTGTTACATAAGGGAAGAATCAGCCTTGAAAAGGTCCAGCCCCCAAACTGCCTAAAGGAAACTGGATCAACCTCTCAAAGATGAGTGCCCCTCCATAGCTCTCTGGACTGGCCAACCCATCTCTGTGCTAACACAGCAGGGACTTCAGAACCTTGGGTCCACCAACATTCTAAGAGCTTTTCAGTTGTCATAAAACAGTAGAGGGAAGGAAGAAAAAAATCATTTTGATTTTGGCAAGCGAGCACACAAGATAGGGTGAGCAGAGAATGAGCCAAGCATGTTTAACCCACACATGTTAGAGACTCTGGCGGTGATCTTCGACAATGGGTCAGGGCTATGCAAGGCTGGTGTGTCAGGGGAGATCGGTCCTCGGCATGTCATCAGTACAGTCGTTGGACATCCCAGGTTCAAAATGGGTGGCTCGGAGCAGAATCAGAAGCTGTATTATGTTGGAGAGGAAGCCTTGTACAAGGCAGAATCCTTATTTTTACAATATCCTATTGAGAGAGGTATCATCACATCTTGGGAAGACATGGAAAAACTCTGGAGACATCTCTTTGACTGGGAACTTGGGATTAAGCCCTCTGAGAGACCAGTGCTCATGACAGAACCTTCTCTGAACCCCAGGAGCAACCGGGAGAAAACAGCAGAGATGATGTTTGAGAGCTTCAAAGTACCAGCTTTCTACCTATCTGACCAAGCAGTCTTGGCACTCTATGCTTCAGCCTGTGTCACGGGGTTAGTGGTGGACAGTGGCAACAGTGTCACCTGCACAGTCCCTGTGTTTGAAGGGTATTCCTTGCCTCATGCAGTTTCTAAGCTTTATGTGGCAGGGAAGGATATTACTGAGTATCTCTTGAGATTGCTGATAAACAGTGGGAGGTCTTTCCCTTGTGCTCTAGACAAAGGATTGGTGGATGACGTCAAGGAAAAACTATGCTATGTGGCCTTAGATCCAGAGAAAGAGCTGAGCAGGAGACCTGAGGAAGTCATGAGAGATTACAAACTTCCTGATGGTAATGTCATCCGTTTTGGAGACCAATTGTTCCAGGGACCTGAGATTCTCTTTGCCCCAGAACAGCTTGGCATACAACTCCCAGGGCTTTCCAAAATGGTTTCTAACAGCATCCTGAAATGTGATGCTGACACACAGCAATCTCTCTTTGGGAATATTCTTCTCTCTGGTGGTTCTTCCCTGTTCCCTGGACTGGATGATCGGCTGATGAACGTAGAACAGCAAGCCCCAAAGGGCATCCCCATCAAGATAACAGCTCCTCCTGATCGATGGTTCTCCACTTGGATTGGGGCCTCCATTGTGACATCACTGAGCAGCTTCAAGCAAATGTGGGTCACTTCCATGGATTACAGAGAATTTGGGACATCTGTGGTCCAAAGAAGATGCTTCTGAAAGTCTTTGATGAACCAACTTATCATAGACACATGGTTCTTACATTTCTTAGATGAAACATGCAAAGGCTTATGTAACAAGGTATAAAATAAAATGTAAAAAATGAAAAGTGTTGGGGGCAGTTCCTTCTCTTCTTCATGGTTTCAGCTCATTTGTGGTACACTGAATTTAGAGATAGTCAGCCAGTAAACAAGCATTTATTAAGTACCTACTGTGTGCCAGGAGCCATGCTAAGCCCTGAAGATACAAAGCAAAGCAAAAATAGCCCCTGCCCTCAAGGCAACCTCCTTTAACCGGGGGGAGACCTGGGTTCAAATCTTGATTCTACCACTTAACTATGTGACCTTGGGAAAGAGTTACTAAAAAGATTAGGTTCTGTGATATTCTCAAACTATTATCTATAGATTAGTAGGTAAGTCCCAAGAAGTTATCTAAGACTCGGAGAGCCAACATAATTTTTCCAGGGTTATACAGCTAACAAGAGTCAGGGGAGGGATTTGAATGAGTTTTTAGTCTCTGCTGAAAGGAGGCATCTTGGCTCTAGGAAGCAAGTACCTGAATTCAGATCTCACCTCAGACATATATGATCTTGGACAAGTCAACTTCTTCATTCTGGCAGCAGTTTCGTCATTTGTAAAAATAAGGGGAAATGGACTCAAAGACCTTTAAAATCTCTTTTGGCTTCTCTGATCTCATGATTTACTTGATGAATTCATAAACTTTCCAGGAGGGGGAAAACATTCCTCCAGCATAGGTGGGAGGGGGAGAAAAAGAAGGAAAAGTCTTTTCTTTGAAGAATTCTATAATTTAATAAGTTATTCTTAAGATACAGAAAGGGAAGAGCCAGTCACTCATACAAGACTGAAGAGTGTATGTGAAGGGTAGAGAGCATTGAAAGGGCTGAGCAGTGGAAAGGTTGCCTGGGATGGATCAGGTCTGTGGAGGACAGGAGTGGGAAGGAAGGGGAGAGAAAGGGGTGGGGGTGGGGTAGGGGTGGAAAGGCGGGGACTTAAATGCCAGACTTCACTTCATAGGCAGAGAGGTGTGTGTGTGTGTGTGTGTGTGTGTGTGTGTGTGTGTGTGTGTGTGTGAGAGAGAGAGAGAGAGAGAGAGAGAGAGAGAGGAGAGACAGAGAGAGAGACAGAGAGACAGAGACAGAGAGACAGAGACAGGGAAACAAAGGAGAGAGAGAAGAGGAAGAGAAAGAAACAGAGAAAGGAAGGAAGGAAGAAAAGTGGAGGAAAGAGAGGAGGGAGAGGGAGGGAGGGAAAGAGAAAAAGAAAGAAAGAAAGGAAAGAAGAAAGAAAGAAAGAAAGAAAGAAAGAAAGAAAGAAAGAAAGAAAGAAAGAAAGAAAGAAAGAAAGAAAGAAAGAAAAAAGAAAGAAAGAAAGAGAGAGAAAGACAGAGACAGAGAGACAGGGAAACAAAGGAGAGGAAAAAAAGGAAGAGAAAGAAAGAAACAGAGAAAGGAAGGAAGGAAGAAAAGTGGAGGAAAGAGAGGAGGGGAGAGAGGAGAGAGAGGGAGGGAGAGAAAGAGAAAAAGAAAGAAAGGAAAGAAGGAAGAAAGAAAGAAAGAAAGAAAGAAAGAAAGAAAGAAAGAAAGAAAAAAGAGAAAGAAAGAAAAGGAGAGAGGAAAAGGAGAGAGAGAAGAGACAGGGAGAGAGAGAGGTGGGGGTGAGGAGTGAGAGAAAGCAGGGAGAGAGTGAGACAGAAAGGGTGGAGAGAGAAAGAGAGGGAGAAATAGGAGAGGGAGAGGGAGAAAAAGAAAGTAAGGAAAAAGAGAGAGAAGAGAGAGATTGGAGAGAGCTCTGTGTGTGTGTGTGTGTGTGTATTTTAATTTCATTCAAGAGGCACTCACTGCTAATATTTCTCCAGTAATGTTTGCTTTGAGTTTCTCTACTCTTAGAGCTTCCTGTGCCCTGCTGCTCTCTTGAAACATTCCAAGGTTGAAAAGCCATCCAGAGAAGCTCAGAAAAGACTTCGGAATGACCGAGAATTCAGCATGACCAAGGGCCATTCCCTCCTGGGCAGCTTACCTCTGACCATAGCCATATATCTGGGGTCTGAAGGCAACTCTTGGGGGGAAGGGGAAAGGTTTGGAATGGCTTTGAGATCTCTATATGATGTCTCTTCAGTCCACACTTTAGCCTCAGTGGCGGGGGTGGGGGATGGAGAAAGGTGGAAATCTGAGAAGGGGCTGGGGTGGAGAGGAGGCAGAGTTCCCTAAAGGAGATTCAAGAAGCACTGGCACTTCTGGGCATGAGAATAAGCTAGCAGGAGAGCAAATACTTATAAAGTGCCTACTATGTGCCAGGTTCAGTGCTAAGCACTTTACAAATATTGGAGTCAGGGAATCTGATTTTGAATCCCTGCTCTCTTACGTACTCTGTGTGTGTGTGTGTGTGTGTGTGTGACCTTGGACAACTCACTGTAGCTCCAGGGGCTTTGGTTTTCCCACGGGTAAAATGAAGAGATTGGACTGTCTGTTCCCTAAGGTCACTTCCACACAGGAGTCTGCTGAAGCCAGCTCCAACCATCTGGGGAGCCCATTGTGAAATTTTCGGTGTGAAAATTTGCATCTCAGAAATCAGCAAACATTACAAAATCAGGGCTTGATTCATTGTTTTGTTGAGATTGTCCGGACTTTAAAAAGTAATAGAAGGGGCACCTAGCACCTGCCGCCACGTGACCAGGGGAAATTGCAGAGGCACCATCATGGACGGGTCAATACACTAGACTATTCAATGTCACCTAAGATTGCATTTCTTTATATGCTATTTCACCATAATGAGGTTGTGAGTCCACTAAAACCGTAAGATCTTTTTTTCTGATGAATAATTATCTAGCTTTTCCTAATGTCCCTTAATCTTAACGCCTTTCCTTTGAGATTATCCCCTATCGGTCCTGCCTATATGTTACTGGTACATAGCTATTTGCATACTGTCTCTCCCATTAGATTGTGAGCTTCTTGAGATCAGGGGCCGTTTTTGCCTTTATGTCCTCAGAACTTAGCACCGTCCCTAGGACATCGTAAGTGCTAGATAAATACAAGCCCTATCTCCTTCAACTTACTTGTGAAATTGATTTTTCAAAGCATAAAAGTTTACATTCATATCCTTGGTAAATTTCATCTTATTAGATCCAGGTCAACAGCCTAGCCTACCAAGATCTGCTTGGGGTCTGACGCCATCACTCAGTGTGTTAGCCAAACCCCTCGACTTTGTGCCGTCTTCAGAGTTAATGAGAAACCAATCTACCCAGGTCACTGACAATAGTTTTAATAGCATAGGGCCAAATCTATGGTCACAGGGGCATCTGGTTTTCCAAAGCTACCAGAGAACCCATTTGGACTGTCTTTCTTCCTATTTATACGCCTTCCATCACTCACTTTAGAAAAATGTTGATTCTTTTTCATAAGGAATCCAACCTGATCCCCAGCTCTTCTGCCCCCACCCCCAAAGACACGCAAACTCTCACACAGAGAAAATGAAATTCTTTTTAGTGGGAAGACACACGAGCATTTTGATGAAAGAAAAAGAAAAATACCCAATTCCTCTCAGTTCAATGTCCTTTGAAGTACATGACAATGTTAGGATCCTGGAAGTATCTGCAACAAAAATACAACCAATATATTTTGATTTTACCGGATGGGTACCTTGCAGCTCCAGCAGCCTGGGACCTTCCCCTCCTCAGTTCAACTTCCATTACCCAGTCCTCACCAGATTGATGGGTGCTTCCTCATGGCTGAATACTAATCCTCTCAATCCTCACCTCTTTCAGAAGTAACCCAGAGCCCCACATCTATTCTAAACGTCAAGACTACTATCCCCTTCCCAATAGTCATTGGTCAGTAGTGCTTGAATGAGTAGGGAGTTACCAACTACAATCTTCCTAGTACTATGGTGGACCACTGGGCTTTACCATCGACCCTACCATTGGTCCCTAACGTCCACCAAGCCTTGCCATCTATCTGTTGCTGTACTCTAAGGACTTCTTGGCTTCATCATCAACTAAATCCTTCAACATATGTTATTTCCCCTCATTAGAATGTAAGTTCCTTCAGAATAGGAAGGGGCTGCCTCACTTTTCTATTTATATCCCTATTACTTAGCATATAATAATCACTGTTGTTGTTCAGTCATTTGGTCATGTCAGACTCTTCATGACCCCTTTTTGGGGTTCTCTTGGCAAAGGTACTCAAGTAGTTTGCCATTTCCTTCTCTAGAACATTTTACAGATGAGTAAACTGAGGCAAACAGGGCTAAGTGACTTGCCCAGGGTCACACAGGTAGGAAGTGACTGAGGCCAGATTTGAACACAGGTCCCTCTTGACTCTGGGCCCAGTGTTCTAGCTTCCCAAAAAGCACAATTGCATTATCATTGCTTCCTATTCCATTTCATTGGGATCTAGAGCTAAAATGAAAAAAGCCATGTATTTAAAGTCAGAGGAGCTGAGTTTGAATACCAGCCCTGCATCTTGCCATCTGTGTGACCTTCAGAAAGTATATTTACCTATTCTGCACCCCATTTTCCAAGTCTATTTCCCTGTTCTGCATCCCATTTTCCTTATCTGTGAAATAATAGAGTTACATAGGTTGACCCCTAAGGTCCTTTCCACCCCTAAGGCTAGGACTGCATGGATGACCTCCACAAAATAGAATAGACTGGCTCTATGATTTAGTAAATAGGTCATAAGAAGTTGCCTGAGGCACAGAGAGATTCAACAATTTGCCCACTCTCACACAATATTAATAACAATCTTAACAATTATAATACTATTTGCATACTGCTTCTTATGTTCCAGACACTAAGCTAAGTATTTACAATTATTATCTCATTTAATCCCTACAGTAACACTGGAAGGTAGATGCTACTATTTTTCCCATTTTACAGATAAGGAAACTGAGGCAAACAAAAAATAAATGATTTGCCCACAGTCACACAACTAATAAGCGTATGAGGCTGGATTTGAGCTCAGGTCTTCCTGACTCCAGACTGGAGGCTTTATAAGAGTCAGACATGGGATTTGAACCTAGATTTTCCCAACTCCAAATCCAGTACTCTACCCACCATATCCCACTGCCATTTCTGGGGACACACATAGTCC